GATGCGCTCTGGACGATCCGGCTCCACCAGTCCTCACTTCGGACAACCTTGAGTCCGAGACGAGACCGAGTCCGAGCACCTTCAGGCCTGAGAGTAGCCAGGTTGGCGCCACCTAGTGCCTCCGCTCAATTTTATTTCTCTCCAGCGACTAGGTCAGGAATCGGAATACATTAGACGGTTTGCACGAATGTCAGAAGTTGTAGACCTCACACCTGCCAATCAGTGAAGAGCTGTGAAGCCATGACGTCAAACTCAAGCGTCTGTCTGTGTCCCTTTTGTGGTACAGCACAACAATAAACAAAGCGGTCAAGATGGATGTAGACCAAGACATACATTGTGTGTTGTTTGCGCGATTGTGTGTGCGATTCCCGAGATCGAGGATTTAAAGCTGGAGCAAAGAGAATGTTTTTTGAATTTTATCAAGGGGAAAGACGTTATTGTCCTTCTTCTTTTGGGATTTGGCGCATTATATACGTGACGACCAAATAGCGACTGATTAAATTAAAAAAAGTACCCGCCTACTGTCGAACGAACGAATCCTAATGCTGCAAGGTCAGACAGTTTCCACGAAGTGAAACCGGCTGATGAATCAGCCTAGGCCGAGATAAGACCGTAAAAAAAAAAAAAAAAAAAATCTCAAGGCTGGTCTTGAGATCAATACAGGCTTTGAGTACTACGACACTAGTAAGAAGGATTCAAATAAGGTTCCGGAGAGATCACAAAATTACTTAAACATGCACGGATGACATCTATAACCTCTTCAGGCATGTTTTTGATGGAAACAATGTTAAAAAACGGTAGAGAGCTTAACAAAATAATCTATTTCACATAATACCTCCACGTTAAACAAACTCTCCAAACTTTGGCGAAAATTCAAAGCCTGATTACGATTTGATTGATTTTAAAACACAAATTGTCACGTTCAGAACTAATATTTACACAGCGATTCCTTCTCCTCTGGTTTACTTTCTCCTTTGTCTGTGGTGCATGTTTGAGTGTGCGCTCCTCCTCAGCATGCCGCCAGTCTGTGCAGCGGTGTGTGCAAAAAGCTGTCCCAGAAACAATGGACTGGGGCCTCTGATTACATCTCAGACTGGGACGTCAGATTGGGGAGGGGGGGGTGGGGAGGAGGAGGAGGGGGGCAGAGGAAAAGGGTGGTGGTCCGGTCCCACAACCAAGGAAGGTTACCCCCCCTCACACACACACACACGTACACACATACAGAACGCACACATGTTGGTTTCTCGTGCCGCTTCGGGACATTACACTGGCGAACATTCATTTCCTTGAGACTATTTCTAACCTTAAAGCGCAGATATTACGCTATTTTCTGAAGTTATAATGTTGTTTCTTTATCAAAAACAGACCTGGAGTTGTGTTTTGTTTCATTCGCACATGTTTAGCACACAAATCCTGCATGTGGTAGTGGTATTTTGGTCATTTCAGTCCTGGAAATTGCCAATCTCTACTGAACAAAAAGTAAAATGAGCTTCTAACTTGAAATCAAAAAGTGGAATATTTTGAGTTTTGGAGATGTAGACAGACTAAGAGTGAAACAAAACACAACTCCAGATCTGTTTTTGATGAGGTAACAACATTATAATATGACTTAAAACTCACAAGAGTCAGTTTTGCGTAATATAGAACAATCCGTGTATCATTTGTTCATTCGTTTTTTCAAAATAAGACCAAAAATAAGAAAACGAAAAAACTATTTTCTTCATTATTATTTTCTTCATTATTTGTCTCCAAAACCAAAATGAAAAAACAGATACCGATATGTTTTTTCAGTTTTTGATTCTGGGTTTAAATGAATAATGGAAAAAAACAGTTAACAGACATTTCTTTAAATAAACCAGGACTAAACCAGGATTAAACCAGAAATGAACCAGGACTATACCGGTCTCAGTCTTGCTCTCAGTCCCAATCCCTGTCTGGTCCCGGTCTAGTCCTGGTCTGGTCCTGGTCTGGTCCCGGTCTCAGTCCTGGTCTCAATCCTGGTCTGGTCCGGGTCTCAGTCCTGATCAAATGATTACGTGGGTCCCGACACTCAGTCCTGGTTTAGTCCTGGTTCAGTCCTAGTTTAGTCCTTGTTCAGTCCTGGTTTAGACCTGGTTCAATCCTGGTTTAGTCCTTGTTCAGTCCTGGTTTAGACCTGGCTCAGTCCTGGTTTAGACCTGGTTCAGTCCTGGTTTAGTCCTTGTTCAGTCCTGGTTTAGTCCTGGTTTAGTCCTTGTTCAGTCCTGGTTTAGTCCTGGTTTAGTCCTTGTTCAGTCCTGGTTTAGTCCTGGTTTAGTCCTTGTTCAGTCCTGGTTTAGTCCTGGTTTAGTCCTTGTTCAGTCCTGGTTTAGACCTTGTTCAGTCCTGATTTAGTCCCGGTTTAGTCCTTATTCAGTCCTGGTTTAGACCTGGTTCAGTCCTGGTTCAGTCCGTATGCAATGCAAATTCCGGCATCGCAGTTTAAGTCATGGAAACAGGATTGTGTCGTTATCCGTTTTTCCCATTATTCATTTAAACACAAAATCTAAAACTTGAAAAAAATAAATAAATAAATAAATAATAATAAATCATTATCAGTTTTTCATTTTGGTTTTGGAGACAAATAATGAAGAAAATAGCTGTTTTTTTGTTTTCTTATTTTTGGTTTTATTTTGAAAATCGAATGAACGAATGACACACGGATTCAGGACCTTAAAGTGATACAGTAACTTGCAGGAAGTGGCACGTCACCTGCGCTATTCCTTGGAAACAGTCAGTTAAAGCCATTCTTAGGAACCTTCCCTGTGGAGATATTTAGTTTTTCTAGTGTAATGTGGAAAATTATAGGCATAGAAACAGTCAGCTCTCCTCCAGGTCAAGTTGTGGAGTTGCAAGCTTTTATTTTTAGTATATTTTTGGGCAAAAAATTTACACTGTGGAGTTTTAAAAGTGCACTCTGTAACTTTTTCTGTAGTGAGCCAGTCACCTTCTTCCACAGTGTGACATTAAACTGCTCTATCTTACAATTATTCAATTACAGGTGGTTTTATAGCTCAAAAATAATTAGAAAAACAGGTATTCTCACTGTGAGCGGGGTCGCCTCTCCACAGACCTGACCTGTAACTGGGTCTGGTTTGGTTTCCATGAAGATAGAAAGGTTTAACGCCATAGTGTAAAACATTCCAGACAAAGCAATAATATCTCTATGGAGAAAAGCATCCACTAGAAAAGTTACACAATGGACCTTTGAGTTGTTAGAGCCTGAGTCATTCTTCGCTCATTGATAAATTGCTTCATTCACTGATTCCTTAGAAATCCGCCACGTTTTTCAGTCTGCTGAGATATTTATTTCCTTCCTTTTTGCTCATAAGCAGCCATGTTTATTTTAATACGAACAGATCACGTATGTCCTGATTGGCTAATCCACCTGTCAATCATGCCCATCTGAACTCTGGGGGATTCACCGGTGACCAGACCCACATCTCTGTAAAGAACTGAAGAAGTGAAGTGTGTATTTTGGATCTCAGGCGATGATTGTTTCCCCATTAAGATTGTCAAAAGTATCGAAAACCAGATACTAATCGATACTAAAACGATTATTCAAAGTAGCTACTCATTTGAGCAGGTATCAGTACTCAAAAAGCACATCAAATTGGACCTTTCTTTAACAGTTTTATCTGGAGTTTTATCAGAACTACTCTAAGACTACATGGCATAGCAAAAGGAGAAATTCAAATTGTCAACTGGACAAAAGTTTATTTGGTCGAAAACTAATTTGTTTGACCAAATAAACTTTTGTCCAGGTGACAAACTGAATTTCTCCTTTTGCCATGGATTCTACCGAGCCAGGCTGGTGCCACCTAATGCCTCCGCTCAGTTTCGTTTTTCTCCAGCAACTAGGTCAGGAATTGGAATACACTGGACGCTTTGCAAGAACCGTGGAAGCTGCAGACAATCATCAAAGAGGTGTGAAGTGGTCGAGATGGATGTAGATGAAGACATACGTTGTGTGTTGGCAACGATTCCCGAGATCGAGGATTTAAAGCTGAAACAAAGAGAATGCATGGTGAATTTTATCAAGGGGAAAGACGTTATTGCCCTTCTTCCTACGGGATTTGGCGCATTACTTTTGTCACGACCAAATAGCAGCGATTGGTTAAATAAAAAAAGTACCCGCCTACCATCGAACGAACAAATCCTAATGCTGTGAGGTCAGACGGTTTCCACGAAGTGAAACCGGCTGATGAATCTAGACTCTACATGGATGATTGAAGGATTTTACACACTACATGGTATAATAAACAAATACTATAATTTAGTTTACAATATTGTCTAAAGAAAGCAGCATTAGGATTCATTCGCTCAACGGTAGGCGGGCACTTTCTTAATTTAACCAATCGCTGCTATTTGGTCGTGACGTATGTAATGCGTCAAATCCTGTAGGAAGAAGAGCAATAACGTCTTTAACCTTTTGTTTTGTTTTGTTTTTAAAAGTTTTCACGATGTTATAAATCCTGCCTGAAGAGGTTTGAGCAGGATGCACGCCGATTGTGTTGTGATAACGCTCTGAAGGGGGACTGACAGCACTGAGAGCAAACGGAAGCTCAGAGTTACAGTGAAACTTATATAACATGTTCAGTTATTTCTGGCAAAAGCAGAAGTAAAAAAGTGATCAAAATCTGTGAATCAAATCTATTTTTTAGTATCAAAAGAATCGAGTTTGAAATTTTAGTATCGTAACAACACTTCAGTCCCAAAAAAACGAAGACTAGTCCCATGATGTGAGTGTGTGTGTAGAGATTTTAGTCCGCACAGTGCAATAAATACCCACCGTAAAAAAAAACTCTGCGAAAGTCCCGTCCCTCCTCCCTCCTCCCTCCTCTGGTCTCTCACAGTCTTGTAGTATCCCGCTGGCGTCCCATTGGTCAGCGCGCGCAGTTGTGTTGTCATGGCGTTGGTCAGGGCGGGGTATATAAAGAGGGAGCGGCGGGGCGGTTGGGTCTGGCCACAAGTTTGAAACATTTCAGAAGTGGAGCAGGACACAGAAAGAGAGAGCAGAGGAGAGAGGAGCCGTGCGAGAGGAGACAGAGACAAGCATTTGGGATAATTTTTCTTGTTTTCTCGGCTTCCAAGCTTTTCAGATTCGTGAGTTTTGATACCTTGAACTTGTTTGGGTAACGTTTTTGAATGTATTTATGCATTTGGGGAACACAAAAATCCATAAATCCATAAATTTTGAGAGCTAGAACTTGACTACTTGACTTTTAAACCAAAGATTTAAGTTTTGGGGTTTGAAAAATCAACCACCAAAACTTTCAAAACTTTTTCTTGCAATTTTCACCTTTTTTGTCTGGATGTTTTTGGGGGTTTGCTTTTTAAACTCAAGACATTCACAAATTGAAGAACTGAACTGCAGAAATCCACACTTGGACTTGAAGATTGCCATCCTAAAATTTCACCAGAAGAACTTTTTCCCATTTTTACTTATTTTGATGACTTGCTTTGAAATCTACCACTCAAAAAATCTCAGAAATCTTGGTGAGTTTTTGCAAGTCAGAACTTTACGAATTCAAACTTATCTCGGACTAAAACCAATCGTCCACTCGAGATGAATTTATCAGAATCCAGTTTTCTACACCCCAAAAGAGTGTCGATGGAAGGACCGTGGGCATCGGGGACGCCCAGCCCGGAGTCGGACGGGGAGATGGGCTTCGAGCACAGCCTGTCTGGGGACTGCAGCTCTCCGGACAGCGGGAGCGGGAGGACGGGAGCCAGGATCTCGGGGGGACCGGGGTCGGGGGAGCAGAGCCGAGGAGGTGCCCAGGCCGAGGGGAAGGGCGTGGGGGGAGAGCAGAGGATCAGGAGGCCCATGAACGCTTTCATGGTCTGGGCCAAAGACGAGAGGAAGAGACTGGCTCTGCAAAATCCAGACCTCCACAACGCGGTGCTCAGTAAGATGCTCGGTAAGAGAAGAAAACTTTATTGCAATGTGTCTTTAAATCATGCAAAATTGAGCTTTAAGCCATGTTAAAATGTTGTTTCTTCCTCAAAACTAGATCTGGAATTGTGTTTTGTTCCATTCACATGTTTGAGTAATCCTGTATTGTATTATTAGTCTGTCAAAATTCTCTCCTGCACCTTGTGATGTCATGAAGAGGTAAAATACAAGTTAACATTTACCTTTTACCATTTGTTTAGTAGAGATTTTCAATTCCAGGGCTGAAATTATCCAAATGATTCTAGTGAAGGTGTTGTGGAGAACTTACTGTATCGCCACATGACATCACGAGGTGGAACAGAGTGTTTTCTGTTTGGGAGAAGAACTCAGCCTAAATACGCAGGGTTTGTGTGAATTATAGTAATATAAAAGCACGGTTTGTGGATGGATGTGTTTATCGCTGTGAAAAACTGAAAAAAAAAAAGGGTTCTTACTCTGAGTGGTCTTGCATTTCCATAAACATTACTTTTACTCACTTGTTTCCATGGAAATGTTGTTCTATTGGCTATAATATTCCACATTACGGCATAAAACTTACATATCGCAATGGAGAATGTTCCGAAGTATGGTTTTAACTTTCTATTTTCATGGAATCATGCAGCAGACTTCCATCCTACAAAAAGTTTCATACTGTCATGTAGAATGGAAGTGATAAAAGAAGGAATAGTGTACAGTTTCCATGCTGAAAATTAGAACAATTTGAGAAAAAATATTTGATTGCAATTCTTCTGACAAGCTTTGCAGCTGAGATCTAAAATTTATCATTATCATTTATATTTTTGCTCTTTGTTATTATATTATACTGTGAGGTGTGAGCTACTGTGTCCAAATAATTTCCCTTGTGGATCAATAATGTTTGTCTAAGTCTAAGTTTTAATAATAGGAATGTTCAAAGTTCACATTTGAATTGACAAAAAGACTGAACCAACAAACTGACAAACTCATACAAGAATGTTTGTACAAATCTACACTACAGCATTATTATTATTATTATTATTATTATTATTATTATTATTATTATTATTATTATTTTTTTTTTTTTTTTTTTTTTTTTTTTTGCAGAATAAAACAGGACATTTTGTTTGTGGGGAAAATTATAGTACTTCTAAAACTGCAGCCTTTGTGATCATTCAAATTCACACTTTTAAAACTTCTTCAGGCACCAAATCATATTATACACCTATGATCTGGAGTTTTAAGAAATGATCATTATATGCTTAAAGTATCTATATTTGCATGTTTTTCTGTGTTTGCCACATAGTCATATTCATAATTCTTCTTTTCTTGTTTGGCAAATACTGCAATTAACACAAGTACTCGTAAGTGCTCATAGTGTAAAACAGGATTAGTGAGAACATTTGTTTGGTAAACCTCTAATGAAGTACACAGATGTTATCCAGAAATAGAATGTATTTGGATATTCACTGTCATGTTAAAGTGAAAAGTTAAAGAACAAGCAACATCGTTTTGTGTCATTTCTCTTTTCAGTTTCTAGCAGATTTTACACATATTCGAAATAAACATTCAGACGAAGTTAATTTTTTTATTAGTCCTCCTGCTATAATAATAATAATAATAATAATAATAATAATAATAATAATAATAATAATAATAATAATAAAACATGAAGAATAATCTATAAATCTAGCACATTATTATAAATGAAAACAACAGACTTTAGTATTTTGTTTATGGCTGAGTGCAGGTTGTACACATGCTGCAAACGTTGCTCTTTAACTTCGCTTTTTGACTTAATACTTCACAAACTACTACATGTTTAGAGCCATGCAGTACTTATCCTGTATGTATGAAGTAACAGCTGAACTTTGATACTATCCATTTCAACAAACTCTGTGAAGAACTGTGTCTGCAACTATTTCTACAAATGTTGAACCTGATAATTATTTTTAGGTGGATTGAAAAAATGTATGTATTTTATAGTTCCTATATATATATATATATATATATATATATATATATATATATATATATATATATATATATATATATATATATATATATATATATATATATATATATATATATATATATATATATATATATTTAGACTTTCTGTTGAGAATTGACTTTGTGCCAGTTTTTCAATCATGTGGCTACAAACAGTATTTACAGGAATATAAAAAAGCAGCTATGCCATTTACAGAAATATTAAGCACGTTTGCCTGGCCTATGTACATTTTTCATTTCATTTTCATTTTCATGGGATTCAAGGTGAAAAATGAGATCTGTTGACACAGCATTTAAGAATTTAGAACTCACAATATTCTATTATTTCTTGAATTGAAAGTTCAAATCCATCCAAAACAAAAAGTAAAGTGACTGAAACACATGTATTGGTACTTTTCAGATTCTAAATATTTTCAGATTCTCACAGATTGGGGGCAAGAGTTAGTTTCCCCCATTGATCACATTGTACTTTACCATAAAATACACAAAAAGTAAATTTGAAAATATGTAACCTGATCATGTCTATTACTGACCAGACCCAAGACCAAACAAAAATCAACAACGAAAATCTGTAGTTTAACAAAATACATTTTCCCACCCTCCATCTGTATTAAATATTGTTGACCTGTAGAATGTTGTAGTGTCATCTGAAACCCAAGAACTGACCATTTTCAAACTTTAACCCCCTAACGCCTGAATTTATATAGATGTAAATAAAAAAAAAAAAGTTTTGTGTATGTTTTTGCCTTTACATAGATGGTAAATTAAGTTTAGATTATGAATTTGACTATAGCAAAAAAATAAATAAATAGAAATTTGGGTATGTTGCAAATTTGCGACAACTAAAACCAAGCGCAAAGGTTCTTAGGAAGTTCCTGCACCAACCGGCATTGAGGCTTATATCTTGATCCAAGAGGTTTGTTGCATATTTGTGACAATTGACGTTAAATGGATAAGGCATCAAATGAAACTACATGTCACTCGTTGCTATTAACTCACCCGTTTCTCTTTCTTTGGCATAGGTCAATCGTGGAAAGCCCTGAGCGCCTGCGACAAACGCCCTTTCGTGGAGGAGGCCGAGCGCTTGAGGGTCCAGCACCTCCAGGACCATCCCAACTACAAATACCGCCCTCGCCGCAAGAAGACCACCAAAAAACTCAAACGCGTCGAACCGGGCATCCTCCTCCACAGCCTGGCCCAGGGAGGAGCCCCCGGCCTGGGCATGGGCGACAACCTGCCCGGGGCCTCATCGTACGGACATCCGGGCTCCCACTCCTCGCACCACCATCACCCCCACCACCTGCTGCCTTCACTGGGCCACTTCCAGGACCTTCCTCCCTCTTCGCACCCGGAGCTGGAGAGCTACGGTTTGCCCACTCCGGAGATGTCACCGCTGGATGTTTTGGATGATTCCGGAGCGGGCGAATCCGTGTTTTTTCCGCAACACATGCAAGAAGAAAGTGCAATGGGCGGGAGCTGGAACGGCTATCACCAAATTCAACACTACAGCCATCACTACAGTCAAAACACGCAAACGATCAGCTTAAATAGTAGCGCAAACTCTACTTTAAGCCCTCTAAGAAGCTCAAGAGTCGATATCGATTCGAATTCTAGATTGAACCAAATTCCTAGTCACCATATCGCGCTAAGAAATCCAGCCAAATGTTCGATTCCAGATTCTACTTCGTGTTCGTCCAACCAGCCGATCAGCTACTACAGCCAGATGTACCCCGCCAGCACAACGCCAAACGCCAACCCGTTTGCGTCGACGAGTTTAGGCCAGCTATCGCCGCCCCCCGAAACGTCTTGCGCCAATTCTACCGTTTCGACGTTTTTACACCCGATTCAGCACATAGACCAATCCAACGCCAACTTGTCAAACTTGGCCGCGAACGATTTTTGGTCAGAGGTCGATAGACACGAGTTCGATCAGTACATGCGGAGGAACAGAGAGGAGGTTTACGCGTCGAAACTTGGTCGTGGTAGCATCGGGGGAAGCATGAACGGCGGTGTGATCAGTAGAGATGTAGGGAGCATTATGGGTAGCGGTAGCGGTTGCGAAGACGCCAGCAGTCCGCTCATTTCGGCCTTATCCGACGCTACGAGTGCGGTCTATTACAGCGCGTGTATCAGCGGGTAAAGAATTAGAAGATTGCTGCTATTTTTTGGATCTAAATAGTAAAAAAATATAGCACAAACACACAAATTTTGTTTAATATTTTGGATTTTTTTTAAAGAATTGTCAAATTGAACGCACAATTGATGTTAAACTGGATTTTTTTTTTAACTTCTGAGAATCTATGTATAAAATTTGCTACCTAAAAATTCTTAACACTCATAATTTCTAAAATATTTTCCAATTTATTATTTATTTTTATTTACATGATTGCCACAGCCCCATCAATTAAAGATGCACTATTTAACTTTTTCAAATTGTGGGGTCCGCCAATGTCATTGTCTCCACAAACTTGTAAACTTAATCTACATTAGAGTCATTTAAGAGGTAACATAAAACAAAATGTGCATTCAAACTGAGCTGGCTCCCCTCTGCATAGATCTGATCTGTAACTTCATTGCAAAAAACTAAATCCAGTCAAGTTAAGATGATTTGAAGCTGGTCACGTTTCTTAATCTTGAATCACTGTATTTTTTGTTTTCGACTTTCTTCAAGCTCTTCTTTATATTTTATTGTTTTATTCAAGTGTGTAAGATGAATAACTTAAGACATTTTTTTTTTTTTCTACATATGCAATTTGTTTAACCAACTATGCAACTGCTAATATCTTCAGTCCTTTCAACTTTGACTCCATGTCCAGCACGAACCAATGCCCTTTTCATCTCAACTCACTCACTTTATAATTTTTGGTAGTCTCTCATGTATTGTTATTATCGATAGTGTTATTTGATCCTTAGAACTGGATATTTTGGCCGTGTTTGTCGGTTTTGACTTACCCCCAACGGACCTCTGCCCTTGTCAAGATCAGCAAACTGCTTGATTTAATTTAATTGCTGTAGCAGGGCCGTGTGGTTTTCAAACGAGCCTGAGAATCTCAACTATTTAAGCATTTTAGCGAACGCCAACAAACTGGAAATCTTCACATCTTGTTGGATCTTGACTGATTCCAGCGAGATTGAAGGGAAGATTGACCTCGTGACATAGAAGCGAGTTTTAAGCAAAAACATCTCTGGATTTTAGAGGTTCACTGTGCAACTTTTCTGATGATGGGTGTGCTAAATACCCTTAGAATGTTACGTAGTAAGGCATTAAAACCTATCCATCTCCATTAGGGATGTAACAATAACCGAAATATTGTGATATCGTATCATGAAAAGTCTCACAATATACCGAATTACAAGTCCTTTTGCTTAAATGCATGGTTTTATAGAAGCAACAGATTATAAACTACATATCCCATGATTCATTTCAGCGCAAACAACATGAAGAAATATGTTTTTTTACTTGAATTCTTGGGATTATGATGGATTCACACCAAAATCTTGTCAAGGTATTTTAAAAGAAAAAAAGCGACTTATCTACAATTATATCAGCCTCTCCAAAATATCGCAATAAATATCGTACCGTGAGATTTGGATATCATTACATCCCTAATCTCCAAGAAGACGAGGCCCGAGTTAGAGGTTAAATCGTGGAGAGAAGACCACAGTTATTGAACCTGAGTTTGATTGAATACAGGTTTTCTAATATTATACGTAGAACATTTTAAAAGCAATAATACGTCAGTGAAGAATGGCAGAACGTCTGTCAAGAAAGTTACATAGTGCGGCATTTCATTTTTAATTTCGGGGGAACTTTTTCTCCAAAATGAACTCGATGCTGAACTCTCAAAACATGGACGCAATTTCATGAACCCATCAGAAAAGTTTCACGGTGCGCCGTTAATTTGACATTTTGTGGAACGTTTTTGTCCAAAATTAGTTCACGTTAAACTCTTAAACCTCATTAGAAAAGTTACGTAGTGCGAATTTACCTGATTTCAAACCATAAGTGAGGAACATGTTTTTGAAATTCACAAAAACAAATGTCTGGGATAATATCAGGCAGTTGGTTTCCCATGATTCTTCGTAACAATGCGCCTGATTGCACGATAAATGCGACCCTATGAGAAAATGAACAGATAATATACAGTATTAATGTCTATTTTTTTTCTTATTTAACAGATTTTATCATACAATGCATGATGTAAAAATAAATAAATAAAAATCAGGTTCAGGCTTTTTTGAACTTTTTTTTTTGTCCAAAACTAACACATGTTGAACGGACTTTAAACAAAGTGTCAAGATTTGGTAAGATTTCATCCAACTTTCTGGAATCTATTATATTAAACTCAAAAAACTTTGACAAATTTCATGAACCCCTGTCAAAAAAGTTTCAGAGTGGACTTTTTTTTTTACATTTATGTGAACTTTTTCCAGAACTAACTCTTAAAACATGGACCTTAACTGTCATTCAACTTTGCTACACATCTTCCTGGAGTCATTATATTCTAAAAACTTCACAAATTTCATAAACCGCTGTCAGAAAAGTTTCAAAATTGACTTTTTATTTTAAATTTTTGTGAACTTTTCTATCCAAGACTCATGTTGAACTCTTAAACGTGGATTGAGTAGCATTTCTGGTGGAAGGTCTGTCAAATACTTTTCTCCATGGAGATGTTTTTGCTTTGTTTGGAATGTTTCACAGTGTGGCATTAAACTTTTCCTTTTTTTCGTGGAGAACCAAAGTTACAAAAAAAGTTACAGGTCAGATCTGTGGAAAGGCGACCCCGCTCACAGTCAGAATGCATGTTTTTTGGTATTTTTGAGCTATAAAACCACCTGTAATTGAATAAATGTAAGGTAGAGCTGTTTAAAGTCATACTGTGGAACATTGCAGGCAGAAAAAATGACATATCCTAAGAAACAAGAACATGACGGACCTTCAACCAAAACGTTACGCAATGTCGTTCGACTTTGCATCGCATCTTCCTGGAGCCTGTTACAATACGCTCTAGAAACATGGACGAATTTCGCAAACTCATCAGAAACTGAACTCACGCTGAACTATTAAAAACACGGATCGATTTCACGAACGAACCGTAAACGAAGTGTCCGAAGATCTGCTCCGTTTTCATCCGCTTTTACTTCATGTCTTTCTGGAGCCTGTTACTGGAATAGCTTGGCCCCAAACCCCATCGCTGACCACTGCTTTGTCCCACAGACTTTTGGGGAACTTTTTACAACTCGATTCTGGATAGATTTGAGCTTGATGGATAGTTTTTTTCCCCTCTCCGCGCGAGGATAAAGTTACTGTTCTTTTTGGCGAACGTACATGCTAGGAACTTTGACGTTTGAAGCTCATAAACATTGAATTTGTTTAAACCAAATGTCAGTTTTGAAGGTTTAAAGACTGGTTTGGTCGGAGGAAAATGACCACAAATCAGCGATAATGTCTCTTGTGTTGTAGCTTTTATCATGTTTTTTGACCTGATAGTGATTTACTGTATATATGAAGTTGTTCTGGGGTTGTGAAGGATAAATATACTGTATGAGACTATGAATTTTCGTTTTGCACTGGGTAAATGTGTATAGTATAGCAAACCACCAAATGGAAGTATTGTTTAAAAGATGTAAATAATGATGTGAGTTTTTCGCATAAATAATTGTTTTGTTTTACTTTTTGGGGAAAATTTGAACTTTTTGCTGGAATAAAGAGACTGATGTTTAAGAATATAATGCCTTTGAACTGTCTTTGAACAATGAACTTTTAAGAGAGTATTTTAAGTTAAGTGTACAATTACATATGTTAATTCACTATCTACTATATCAGAGAGATATCAGTAGTTTCTAGAGTTGTCAAAAGTATCGAAAATCAGATACTAATCAATATTAAAACTAGTATTGAAACTACTACTAAACAAATCACATTTACAGAAAAGAAGTGAACCTTTCCTGAATAGCTTTAGAATGATCTTGAGTTGTATCAGAACAAGCATAAAAGCTTGTAAACTAGTATACGCCCAGTGCATCATGACAAAATCACAGTTAGTATAATGTTTTGTTAAATATTTAAAATAGAACTGAGTGATGGGCTAGAGGATTAGAGACCAGTGCCTCCACTGGGTCGACTCCGACTAGGTCAGTAATTGGAATAGAGTAGACGGTTTGCAAGAACGCCGGAAGTTCTAGACCGCGCACCGGTCAATCAGCGAAGAGCTGTGAAGCCATGACGTCAAACTCAAGCGCCTGTGTGGGTCTCTTTTGTGGTACAGCACAACAGTAAACAAAGTGGTCGAGATAGATTTAGACGAAGACAACCATTCTGTGTTGGCAATGATTCCCGAGATCGAGAATTTAAAGCCGGAACAAAGAGAATGTTTGGTGAATTTTATCAAGGGGAAAGACCTTCTTCCTACGGGATTTGGCACATTACATATGTCACGACCAAATAGCAGCGACTGGTTATATTAAAAAAGTACCCACCTACCATCAAGCGAACAAATCCTAATGCTGCGAGGTCAGACATTTCCACGAAGTGAAACCATCTGATGAATCAGGCGAGGGCTTCAGAGGATGTGTAGATGAAAATAAGATGTATTGGAGAAAGGATAGCGGTGAACTGCTTTTGGTGTCCCTGCTTGTCCAGAAAAATAAATAAATAAAATACCCTTATCACCAGTAGAATGCAAGATGTAAAAATAATTAAGCCTCTACAGCTAATATTCATGCATCATCACATTTATTTAGTTTGGTTCGGTTGTTAAAGGGTCCATTTCTGATCTATGTTATAATGTTGTTTCAAAAAATAGACCTGGAGTAATGTTTGGTTTCATTCACACATGTTTAACACACAAACCCTGCATATTTAGGCTGAGCTTTTCTCTCAAACAAAAACAAAACAAAACTCTTTTCCATTGTGTGATGTCATGTGGTAATACAGGAAGTGCTCCACTGTGTTTTTTAACTCTATACACCTTCACTTGAATCATTTGGATAACAGGCTCTATTCACACTTGCGTCACAAACCAGGAAGACGTTTGGAAACATGCAATGACAACTTCCGGTGTAGTTCCCGACACTGGGCTCACCGACCGACTTTGATAAAACCCATTGGAGTAAGGCTATGTTTATATGATGACGGTCTGAACAGAACACGCAAAAGTGGCATCGCGTCTTCACTTTTTATTCCACGATTGGACGACTGTTTTCAG